AATCGATTGGGCCATGTTAACTTTAAAACTCAGAAATATATGTCTAGGAATGGTTTAGTAATTTGTGGTGATGACAGTGGAGATAAATGTGAAATCTGTGTGCAAGCTAAGATGAAGAGAAAGCCATTTCCTAAGTTGGTTGACAGAAAATCAGAATTGTTAGAATTAGTACATTCTGATATTTGTGAATTTCATGGTCAATTAACTAGAGGAGGATGTAGGTACTTCATTACTTTCATTGATGATAATACTCGATTTACCTATGTCTATTTAATGCGAACCAAGGATGAAGCCTTTGATAAGTTTAAGTTGTATAAATATGTTGTTGAAACTCAAAAGGGTAGGAAAATACAGATCCTTCGAAGTGACAGAGGTGGAGAGTATTTTCCAAATAACTTTAACGAGTTTTGTGAGCAACATGGTATAATACATCAAAGGACTGCTCCTTACACCCCACAACAGAATGGAGTAGCAGAGAGAAAAAATGGAGTTCTTTCTGACATGATTAATGCTATGTTGATGAATGCTAGTGCTCCAAACAATTTGTGGGGTGAGGCTTTGCTAACAGCCTGCCATGTACACAATAGGATTCCGTCTAAGAAGCTAAGGGAATCTCCCTATGAGTTGTGGAAGGGAAGGAAACCGAACTTGAGTTATCTTAGAGTTTGGGGCTGTCTTGCTTTCTACAGAGTCCCAGATCCTAAGAGAACTAAGTTAGGACCACGAGCTTTGAAAGGTGTTTTTCTTGGATATGCAGAAAACTCAAAAGCCTATAGGGTTCTAGATTTAGAATCTAATGTGGTTGTGGAATTGAGAGATGTTGAGTTCTTTGAGAAAAAGTTTCGACGTGACTCTGCAAATGTAGGACCATGTCGAGTTACTTCTGTAGATTCCTCAAATGAGTCTATCTCTGCTCCCGCTTTTGACATTGGTTCTAGTAGCAAAAGGCCTTTAGATGACCCTGCTGCTAATGAACCACAAAGAAGTCAAAGGGCTCGAAAGGAAAAGAGTTTTGGTCCAGAATTTATTGATCCTCAAGATATAGTCTTTCTTGTAGAGGGAGATAGGTTAAATAAGGTTACAAGAAAGATACCCATTTTGTTCCATGTGCAAGACGATCCCAAAACCTACCAAGAAGCAATGGCTTCTAGAGATTCTACCTTTTGGAATGAGGCTGTTAATGACGAGATGGATTCGTTATTAATAAATAAGACTTGTGTTCTTGTGGATTTGCCTCCTGGATCTAAGGCTATTGGATGCAAATGGGTATTTCGCATTAAGTATAACACGGATGGATCAATACATACCTTCACAGCTAGATTGGTGGCAAAAGGGTTTAGGCAAAAGGAAGGAGTAGATTGCTTCGACACCTATGCACCAGTTGCAAGAATTACTTCCATAAGAGTGCTTTTAGCTTTGGCTTCTATTTACAATTTGCATGTACACCAATTGGATGTAAAGACGGCATTCTTAAATGGTGAGTTAGATGAAGAAGTGTATATGGAGCAACCAGAAGGGTTCGTGTTGCCTGGAAATGAAGGAAAGGTGTGTAAATTGCAAAAGTCATTGTATGGACTTAAGCAAGCACCTAAACAATGGCATGAGAAATTTGATTCTGTTGTTTTGGCTCATGGTTTTTCTCATAACTCTGCTGATAAGTGCATTTATTCAAAGTGCACAAAAGAGTATATGGTCATTATATGCCTTTATGTTGATGATATGTTGATAATAGGAACTAACATGAAAGGTATAAATGACACCAAAGAGTATCTAACTTCCTGCTTCCAAATGAAAGATCTTGGAGAAGTAGATACTATATCGGGCATCAAAGTAAAGAAACATAGTGGGGGTTTTGCTTTGAGTCAGTCACATTATGTCGAGAAGATGCTTAAGAAATTCGAGCATTTGGATATAAAGGAGGCTAACACCTCTTATGATGCATCTTTTAAGCTTTGTGCAAATGAGGGAAGAGCAGTGGCACAAGTTGAGTATTCTAGTGCTATTGGAAGTTTGATGTATGCAATGGGATGTACTTGGCCCGATATTGCATTTGCGGTGGGCAAACTTTCTAGATTCACTAGTAATCCTAGTGCCGATCATTGGAGAGCTATAGGAAGAGTCTTTGGTTATTTGAAAAGAACCAAAGATTTGGGACTCTTCTATAGCAACTTCCCCGCTGTACTAGAAGCATTTTCTGATGCTAGTTGGATCACGAGCGCTAGTGATAATAAATCCACAACAGGATGGATTTTTACACTAGGTGGTGGAGCTGTTTCTTGGGCTTCGAAGAAACAAACATGTATTACACACTCCACTATGGAAGCCGAATTCCTAGCCCTTACGGCGGCTGGAAAAGAAGCAGAATGGCTAAGGAACATGTTGTTAGATATAGAGTTGTGGCCACAACCGATGCCAGCCATTTCTGTATTCTGTGATAGTGAGGCTACGTTGTCTAGAGCTTATAACAAGATTTAGAACGGTAAGTCTAGACACATTAGCCTAAGACATGATTACGTTAGGTATTTGATTACTAACGGAGTCATTTCTATTGTGTATGTAAGGTCGTGCAACAATTTGGAAGATCCTCTTACAAAGGGGTTGCCAAGAGGCATGATCTATGCGACATCCCAAGGGATGGGATTGAGACCTTTTGTATAGTTAGAAGTAATGGAAACCCAACCTTTTCTTTAGATATTCCCTAATTAAAAGGTTCAATGTGGTAATAACAAGTTACTCTAACTGGGAACTAGTTTATTGTACAAGTAAATTAGTTGTAAGAAGGGTGAGTTGTAGAACTCTTAATGACGTTCATTTGGAATGTCACCTATGTGAGCATTTGGAGTGGTGCCGCTCTAACGAAAGTAAAGGTCAACTTTTGTATATGCTCATGAAACAGGATAAGCACATGGCCATAATAGTGCTACCCTTGTTGGTGGATGTGTTTTAGAGAAGAGACGAGTACGTGTGTGGTGTCTCCGGTTCTAGCTTTGGATCTTGACTCCTAGGCTTAAGCCCGTCATTGATTCGCTATGAACTTTGAGATGCTTACACTAAGTAAAGGTTCAAATCTAAAAGATACCTTTATGTATGTGTTACTTGTTTGAGGCAAGTATTCTCGACTCTTATTGACTAAGTGGGGGATTGTTAGAGTAGTCAAAGAGTAAAGGAAATACCACATTGGTGGGAGAATGAAAGTGCAAGTTGTTTTTAAGTTTGCTTTCCACTTTAGTTATTGGATAAAGTGGTTAGTGGGCTTTTGGAAAAAGTGTGGGATATTTAGTTTGACATATTAAATCGCACTTAGCACTTGGCACGTTTGCGCGACGCGTTCGGATTGAATTTTTGGCTAATTAATTACCGGAATTTTTATTAATTAATTAATCCGGATAATTATTTGATTTTGACTTTTGTGAAACGACGTAACCCTTCGGAAGGGAACTGCCGGTTTCACTATAAAAAGTCTTCTGCAGCCGATGTTCTCAAAAACGTTCATCTTCTTCTCCTCGTTTTTCCTTCTCCAAAAACACAAACACAGAAGTCAGAAAGGTTGCTACTTTCAGACTTTGGTTGAAGGGACTCCTGGGGGTGGTTTGCCTAATTCCTACCAGGAACGAAGTAGTGAGGGCAAATAACACTCTAAAAAGAGTGATTAATCACGCCTTCAATCCGGTTTTCTCCATACTGTTTCCCTGACATTAACCACCTAGCTAGCAGGTTGCCAATGTTGTAAGCAACCTTGGCCTCCGTTATTGACTTGTTCCTTTCCTTCCAAATGCACCAGCAAAGAGCATGTAGAACAGTCTTGGTACACCATTCCTTTGGATTAGTAGATTTGTGTAGGGGCCAATTGTGAATGGCATCTGTGATATTGCTTGAAATGTGATATGTGTGTACAAAGACTTGCATAATGTTCCAAACTCTGACCGCAAATATGCAATTGAGGAAAATGTGATTGTCCTCTTCTTCACTCACTGCACATAATACGCATCTGACAGTTATTTTTTCCTTAATAGTTTAATAAAATCGTTATATAAGTTTTTTGTAGTGGCCTTGCACCTTACGTAATTATGTATTAATATTTAATAAGAGCATATATTATATAATACTTACATAATATTATTATTCAACTATTACGTAAGGTATACATATGTTTCATAATAAGAATTTGAAAATTAACGGAGAAGTAAATGAAAAGTAAATAAATTTTATCCTCTTAGTTGGGCGACTTCTAAAACGAAGGTAAAATGTAGAATCACAAGTGAACATTTACTTACTAAACACCCTTGTCCAGTATTATAAAGTTGATGAATTAATCATTCATAAAAAATATATTATAAAGCTGAATAAAAATGTTAGAAATCTGACATTTCAAAGTTAGGATTAAGCAGGATAATATCGTGCATACATATCCCACCTTTGTTTTGTTTAATGTATTTGTTTTTTTTATATCCACACTTGCAACCAATTATTATATTATTTCCCGTTTTAAGATGAGGGGTCCTTAGTGACAATTAAGGTAAGAAATTAGACATATACTTGAATCTGAACCAATCATTCAACGATACCATTATAAGTGATGGTTTATCGATCGGATGTCCCGAAGAATAATGAGTGCTAGTTTAGATGAAGAAAAAACACTCAATAATGGAGACTCATCCAATCACCATCACAAAATGAAGGTCAATATTAATCTCAAAAGTGGAGAAACCACTTTTTATTTTGTATTCATTTTCCAGAACCGAACGAATGTACCATGCACTAAAGAACAAGAAATGAAAAAGAACACTATTGAGGAGTGTAACAATAATACACTACTTGATAGCAGGCCAGCAGCCACTATATCGAGAAATACCAAAAGTGAAGAAACAAAAGAATTAATAGTGAATTATATGTGTAAAGGGCTCCAAGTATCTACCCATGAAAATGAACTTAATAATTAAGATTTATATAAATAAACGGTATAACGAATTAATTGTAATTAATCAAATACGATCAAATTATCAGTGGCCCACTCCGGGACTGGGACCATCGTTCGCGGCCTCGGTGAAGCTGTTTCCAACGTCCGGGCTGGGCCCCGATTGCTTTACTGCCCCAAGAGCCAGCCCGTCCCAGAAGGCCGCATCGGCCCACCAGCTCCCGCCACTGCCGCTGCTCTGCGCATCGGCCCTCAATATGTTCAACGGCCGAGCCTCTACTCCGCAGCCAAGCACCTGAACCATAACCGCAACGGCGATCAGAAAGCTCACAATCCGAACGAATCCTGCTCTCGCCATTGATGGGTTTTCTTGGGCTCTTGGTTAATAACTTGCAATCTAGCTAGGAACGGAAATGGAACTGAAACAATATGGTTTTTCTGTGTGTGTTTATGGGAGGAAGGTGAATTGAGGAATTAATATTGCACGTGAGGTGACTGATGAAATGCCTGTGAGAGAATGATATCTTGGGGAAGGGTGGTTTGAGGGTATATATATAGTGCCAAAGCAGATAAATCTGACGCTGAATGTTCAAAGGGAAATTTGTGCTTGTTTCCAAGGGGGAAATGAAGCAGCGGCGATGGTTCGGAAGCTGGAAATCAGTCCATGAGAGCAACTTTTAGTTAGTTGTTTGGTCCAACATGATAACTCACTCCGCCATTGGAGGGAAGAAGAAGACTAGATAATACCCGGATTTTCAAAAGCCATCAGCCCATCTCAACGAGCCCAAATTCAAAATTCGGATGGGAACTTGGACTTGTGTGATTATTCCTCAAATTGGAATGAGTCAGTGTCGTATGCTAAGGCAGACATGTACTCCTAGTCGGTGCTGTTAGAAACCGAACAGAAAAATAGGGTTACCGATCTGGCTGAGTCGCGGACTAGGTCGCTCTCTTTAAGACGTTCGCGGCACTGCCTTCGTTGCGCACGGCAGACTATCAGCCGGTCGCCTCCAGGATAAAACAGCCATTCTTATTTTGTTGCTCATCGGTTTTGTGCGAAAACCGGAGCTCTATGAACTCACTCTCTATCTCGTGTTTCTGCTCTCTGAGGTGTGTTTAGAGGGTCTAGGGGTCTGCTATTTATGGGAGCAGAAAACCTAGAATATTCCCTCTTTCTTTGGGAATAAGCCACATTTTAATTAGGAAGATAATTACTTCCATAATTAAAATATATTATATTATATTAAGATAATTAATCCTAATTATCTCCATAATATTCTTTTTATTAATTATCCTTCCTATTTTCGTATCTAGAAAAAATACGGGATAATTAATTCAATATAGCTTTCAAAGCTATTCATTCCCAACAATCCCCCACTTGAATAGTTTTGAAACTATCTCTGAGCATAACAGATCCATAAGATCGGGCATAAACTAAGGTATCGCGAAGATTTGAACCTTAGCGTAGTGGTTACACTTCCGATTTCATAAGGGTGACTCGTAGTCTTGAACCCTATCTCAGACAATGTAGCACACCGGATCTTTTCATTGAGTGATATTCTCTCATAGGCCGTGCGTTTATGGCCATGCACGTTATCCCGGTTTAGTGAACGCTCTAGCAACTTTGTGCCTCCAAAGTTCCATAGGGAGCGGCCCCACTCCCACATTCACATAGGTGAGTCTATCAGAAGTACCCCCAAAGTAAAGTACTTCACTCCACATAGAGTATAGATCTCATTAAGAGTTTAACTCAACCTCCAAGGCTTTGGGATTCATGCTTCACTATGCATGAACTTTTCTCAATATTACTCATGACTTGTTATTACCCATTGAACCCGTTTCTTGGGATCTCCAGTCTATCGGGTCGGGTTACCATCACTTGTAATCCGTGGTTCGGTAGGCATAAGTCTCATACCCTTTGTGGTATTTTGGACTTTCTCTCTAGATAATCCTTTCGTCAAAGGATCAACTAGATTCTGTTAGGACCTTACAGGATCCATCCTCATTGCTCCTATCGTTAGGAGTTCTCTTACAGTACTGTGCTTACGACAAATTTGTCGTCTCTTTGCGTTCTAGAACCGGTTCCCTTCTTTAGTAATAGCTGCGGTGTTATCACAATGAATCAACTACCGGAGGGATCGATCTTTCCCATAAGTGAATCTCTAGTAATGACCCTCTCAATCAACTTTCCTCTTTACTAGCCATTGCTAGTTCTATCATTTCCGTTTTCTTAGTTGATTGAGCCAGGATCGTTTACTTTTTAGACTTCCAAGACATAGCTTCTCTATCGATGTTTAAAACACATCCTCTTGTTGTCTTGGAGTCCTCTATAAGGTATTCTAATCCGCATCATTATACCCTACCAATACAGCAAAACCTTTGATAACAAATACCAAGGTTTTTCTGTTCTTTTAAGGTGTCTCATGACCCCTTTCAATAGCATTTCAATGCTTCATACTAGGACAATCAGTAAGCCTGCCAAGTACCCCCACTATGTCGGGTCTCATGTTTACCAGCTGCCTCACGCAGACTGTCGATGCTAGTATATTCCAACTTTCTCTGTTTCTCACACTGTTTCCAGTGTTCTTTAATATTTACACTAGCATCATCAACCATTTCTGCAGGCATACTGCTTGTATTTCTTCTAGATCTTAACTATATAGTTAAACTAATCTAGAGGAAATCTATTCATTGTCATAGTTACATGGATCTCCTAGCTTACACAAGCTTCATCGAGAACATTCAAAATTCTCAAACATGGTTTTTTAATATCGACATCACGATTCTTTGTACCAAAGATCGACGTGTCATTCATAATGCAAGTGTCATTCTCAAATTTGTACTAAATGCACTTGTCACTTTCACTTTTAAAACCATGAGAGAGAACCAGTTTATCCATGCCATCGTCTTAGAGTCTATTTCAAATCTTACAATGATTTGTCTAACTATAGACTCCCTGAGCATGTTCAGGAATAACAACCCTATAGGTTGTCCCATGTAGATTTCTCTATCTAAATCACCATTCAAAGAAACATGTTAAACAATCCATCTGACGCACAACACTAGCAATCAGAACATACATGGATGTTATTCTACATATGGTGAATAGATAACAAGAAAATTTACAATTTTTCCTTTTCACTTAAAGCCTTCGCTATTAGGCGATCCTTATACTCATAAACTAAACCAATAGGTTTTACTTTTCTTTTAAGAATCCATTTATTACCCATGACTTCATTGTCAAGAGGTAATTCTCAAAGATGCCAAATCTTGTTCGATTCTATCGATATATTACCCAAGGTTTTTCAACCAAGAGGTAACTCTACAAGATTTTAAGTCTTATTAGACTCCAATAATTCCATTTCGTTAATAATGGATTCTCCCACAAATCTGCATCTTTATGAAAGTTCGAACTTCTAGCAGACTTGTAGGATCTTTCTTTCTTAGGGTGTAAAATAACAAATTCATAACCAAAATCCTTTCGTGATTTATGGTTCATTTGTCTCTTCTGAGTTCATACTCAGATTCATCACCCCCCACTAGTTATCCATTATTTCTAATAGTAGGCAGGATATCACCCCCACTATTTCTTAATATAAATGGAATCTATTGGCATCAATGGTTTTCACAAACTAATGAGTATTTCGTTTCATAGGCTTATGTATTTTACAGTAACTTACACTCATATGCTCTTCTAGTTATCATGTCACTGATTCTCTAACGCTACCACATGCATGCCACATATCGAATAATCAGTGCAATCATAATGCAACTAGGCATTTCAGACTATTTCGAATAACTAGTTAGACAATCAGAGCACTCTAAAGAGCAATAAATCATTTATTGTCTTTTCCATCAAGTTTACCCATATCAACATAAATCAGATCTATTGAGTCTGATTCTCTAACCACTTATTTTATGGGTCATTTTGCTTGAATACAATTTTTTTTATTTATTTATCTCAAGCGTTCGAGAATAATATGGGAATGTGACTTTAGATATTCTAATTCTTTACAAGGACACACACGTCCCAAAAAAGAATCCATCTTAGATCGTTTATCACAGACGTGCCTTGGGGCGCTAGTATCCAACAACCATTCTCCAGAGTTACCACTAAGGCTAACTTCTGTCATCACCTAAGCGATTATTATAGTCAAATCCTCTTCTTTAATCAAGTTAACACAATACTATGTTAAACTTGCTCTAACACTTTCGTGTCATATGACCTAGTTTTTCTCAAATTTAATTGAGAAACATAGCGTAATTCTTAGAGAATTGTTTGACAATCTTATGGTTACCACGATGGGTACCATTCTAATTGGTGTGGATTTGGTTCAGCTTGCTGCTCTCATTCTTGAAACTTTAATGTTTCACAGCAACCTAAGTGGTTCGTGTAGTATTGATAATAGTACTTCTTATAATATCGTTATTATGGGCAATAAACCCATTCTATTCCCATATATTCTTCACATATATGCATGCATTTAAACAAAATCATTATACTCCATAACATGTATTCAATTTCTAATCATCGAGGTAATAAGTCTCAATGTCAACATGCATCAATTCTAGATTTTCATTTCTAGCATTCATAATGATTCTCAATTCCATGCATATGGTAGATTCTAATTTGTCATTAATAAATGACTCATAAGTAAGGTTTCCGTTCTTACCTCTTTTCCGAGACATCCCTTTTGATTTTGTCGCGAATAACTAGCTTGTAGCTTAGCTTCCAATTGATGGTGACGTCGAGGATGCAAATAAACTGATTTTGGTTTAGGCCCCAACAAACCTTCTCGTCCTCTTCTCTGAGAAACCATTGTTTTTTAATTTTGCAACGATTAACTAGAACCATGCATAACTTCCTTGTTTTCTTTTCCCTTTATGGCCCGGCCAGTGTGTCGGCCTTCTTCTTGTGGATCCCCACTTTAGCAGCAACCGTCAATTTGACTGGGCTTCCCAGCTCACTGCTGACGGTTTGCTTCCGGTAGTGTGAAGCCCACTTCGGCCCAAGACTGGGCGGATATCCTCCAACCTTCCCCTTGACCTCGTTATCTCATCAAGAAGTGTACTCTTCCCACCTGTTGACCACCACACCAGATCACCCTTTTCGAAATTAGGGTGCCCTTATTCCAAAACCTTCGCCACTCCATATCCACTCAATGGTGATCCGGGCTGAAAGGCTCCGACATAGGAGCCAGAGGAATTCCTCCTACGAGGGCGCATGTAAGGGTCGCAGGAGATACTTATTTGCCTTTGGCTTGTGCCTGAAGTTAGAATCCACTGACAGAGATTCGATAAAGA